TTTGGGCCTGTGTTCACAGCGTGATGCTAAGTGCATTCCAGTATGCTGTGTGTCTCTAGGAATTTGCTGATCATCTAACAATATATATATATATATTGAAAAAATGTCAAACAAACCATTTATACTACAAAATACTTTTGATCTTCCAACCTTACTAGATTAAAATTTCGGCTCTTGCACGAGGTTGCCCAACATAATAAGATGTGTTTCAAAAAAGGGAAACCATGAATCAACCCCAGAGAGAACTCATATATCCATCCACAATCCTTTGAGAGATGTTGTTTTGCGAAAGCTGCGACAGCTGAATTCAACATCAATGCTCAAAAAATGCTCAGTGCAACAAATGATTTTGCAGGCCCAATCGTGGCATCTCAACATGGTTGAGATGAAAATTTTTCGGGCATGTTGGGATGAAAATTTTTCGGGGCACTTTTAAGATAATGTTCCTTTTTTACTATGAATCTACCATCTCCCCTGCACGTCACACAATGACAAGTGGCCATAAAATTCATCAAACAATAAACACATCAAACAACACCACCCATTTAATCTGGTTGTGTTCTCAAAAATGTGACTGAAAGGATGGAAATGTACTTGGCATGTTTTACTTCGCTGGTGGGCCCACGGGAGATCTCAGCAGTGCAATGTTACATTGTCTGGATGGAGCAAAAACAATTTATTTCTCGAGAAACGGTTCGTGCTCAGTTCTGAACGTTTTAATGGGGAGGTATTTGGGTTGGTCGTCACAAAACAACCATGTTTGCAACGCCACTTTCAGCTTCTGTGGGAAAGATTTGACCAACATTGTTTGAGAACTGCGCCGACAAATCATTGACACAGCAGCAGTGCAACCATTTCTTGTGGCCCATTGCGCGTGATCCTCCAGCCAAATCGTTTTTTGGCGAGACGTTGCGAATGAGAGCTTCGACAGTTAGAGCCAGCGCAGCTCAAGAACAGAGCATTCATGCTGCCCAAATTCCAAGTTGCCGAAATGAGAAGACGTCGCTGCAGCCCAGAAGATGTTGAAGAAGAAGTTTCGTCATGTTTTGAAGAACTTATGATCGTCTATCACCTCATGTGATCCAAAGAAGAAAGAAGAAGAGGATCAAAACAAAGAAGAAGATGAAGGAAGAGCATAACAGCAGAAATGTGTGTCCTAGAAGAAATTTGTGCGATGGAAGGGAAAAATCGGACAGGGAAGCATGGGCAGGGTGAAGAGGACGTCGCTCCGAGAGGAATGCCAAGAAGGCCAAGCTTGGAGCCTCCGTCAACGGCTGAACCATTCCGGCCTCCTTTGCCATTGTACTTGATCCACTGCTCGCACCGATTCGTCTCCAATGGAATCTGAGTCTCTGTCTGGAAGGTGCACACATCTGCTGATGGCGGCTTCTGATCCTTTAGCACTCGTACTGGGCAGGCCCTTCGTGGCGAGACCGGCTTTGCCGATTTTTTGGACTCCAAAACGAAAGCCACAAGTTCACAACAAAGTGCAATTCATCTTTGGACGCATCAACAGCTAAGCCCACGCCCAAGCATTTGTCAAGATTTTTTTTTGCACGAGTCGAGGCGCTATGTGTGCAGGTTCTGCACAAGTCACCCAGTTCGAGTTAAGAAGAAGTTGCTGTACAGGTTGCACACCAACCGCAAGAAGAGAACCCCCAAACCGCCAACAACCAAACAGAACCAAGCAACAAAACCAACCCCCCAAAGGGGACAAGGGGAGGAGCAACCTGTTATGCAACTCGCATGGCCACGCAGGCATGGTGAAGAGCAGTGAAACAGGGGCAGTGAATTCCGCAAGGCGCTCAGTAGATCTTGTCCTTCAGCAAATTCACGTACCACTGAGCACTTCAACGCATGATCTTGTTCAAGCAGAGGGAGACTTAAGAGATCTCCCTCAACTGGCAATTCGCACAGTCAGTTTCGAAGTGGTGCTCCCTTGAAGAGCACACGGCAGGCTCTAATGCGTATCTCACAGATTGATCCCCACATGACAAATCGGATCATTTTTGCAACATGTGTCAGGCAGACTGCTTTTGCAGCAGGCAGCGACCAGCCTCATACAAGCCAAGGAGTGACAGCAGACAGCAAAGGGAGCATGTCAGACCAGCCCCGACCCAAAACAGCTTAGCAACGGGAGTGAGGCGAAACATGCTCCTTGGATGACACAAGTTGAGCAGGCTCCATGGCATGGGCGCTGCAAAAGTGATGCAGCCAGGCATCTGACATTCCTTTCAAACGCGGCCAGGTTGGGTATGGCCGACACATGCAAGGCCCCACAAACTACGCGAAAACAGGTGAGACAAAGTGAGACGCCGTTTTCCTAACTCTGTACACTGTACCCATCCAGAACCACCACGCGGGTAGCAGCCTGGGCACTGTCTAACTATTCAGGCCATCGAAAGCGGAGATCAAACGAAGAGCAACTGGCACTCTTAGGACCAGCACACGGGTGCTGGCCTAAGAGGCTAGCTTGCGGGTGTTAGCTAGTATTTGCATACGCGGATTGTAGCGCATGCGCGTGATAACGTGTGTCTGTTGGTCCTCTTGTCATCATAGTCCTGGTTACCAGCATTTACCGAAGTCACATTTGGCGTTTCTTTATGGGCAGCTTGCTCATTAGGGTACTCCAGGGTACTCAACTGAGGTGGCCTCTAATGTGGATAGAGCCAACACACAGGTGCCAGCAAAAACGCTCAGCTATGTGTAGCTCTAGACATGTACCCCTGATTGAGAACTGCAAAGGAGTCATCAGCCCATTGGTCCTCATCTCTTTGATTGCGTGGAAGCCAACGAACCCATTTCGGCAGATCAAGATTGTCACCGAAGGAAAGCATTGGCCCGAGAGTACGTGCCTCTCCAGGTCGTGTGTCCGTAGCCATTTTGGCTCAAGCCTTTGGCTCAAGGCATATCGGCTCAAAGCTCTCAGTAATAATCTGTTGAGCTGGGAGGTTCAAGACTGCTTCTTAAAGAGAAGAAGTTGTCTCCTGCCGGTACGCGTAGCTAGGAACTTCTGTTTTGAGTTGTTTTTACTCCTGTGGTGTCCTTAGACATCATACGAGTTGCCTTTCGCTAGAAGTTGTCTCCTTGCCGAAACAGGTAGCTAGGATAGTTAGTTAGCTTGGCCACTTTGCCTTGGTTAGCTTTCAAGTGGTGTCCTTAGACACTATTTGATCTCAAGTTTTGCCTGTCACCTCACGCAAGCTTTCTCAAGGGGTGTCCTTAGACATCTTTTGAGATTTCGATTATTTGTTTCGACTACTATATTCGAGCTCACTCAAGTGGTGTCCTTAGACATTGCTTTGAGTTTCGTTTCGGTTATCAATCTTTGAAGGGGGAGTCCTTAGACATTACCTTCAGTTTTGGCCCTCTTCCCTGCCTTGTGGTTTGTTAATTTCGTCATGTCATCTAAGGAAGTCTTTTGCACTATTTCTCAGTTTATCTACAACGATATTCTTGAGTCCTTTGAGGCAAAGGGAATTTTTGCGCAGCTTCATGGACCTTCTTTAGCTGTCTCACCACGAATCTTTTTTCTTTTTCGATTTCCCAGCATGGTCAACACAGAACGTTTCGGCAGCAACTTTTTCGTAGTTGGTGAAGATGAGTTTAAGAACATCTATGCTGCTGTCTCTGGCAAGCACCCAGTTGATATCATCATCTATGGAATACAGAGCCGTTTGCAAGATAACATTTTGTGCCCTTTTTTGTCTTGATAAGATGTCTTAACAAAATCTTGGCATGCGAGTGTTGAGTAAAGCAGTGGGCTTGAAGCCCTGTGCGTCAAGCTCCTCTATGCCAAGGCCCCTTGGGGCCATTCATTCGCCACCAGTGGGCTCCAAGCCCTTCATGTCAAGATCCCTGATGTCAAGGCCCTTGAGGCCATTCATCCGCCACCAGTGGGTCACAGCCCCTATAACGTCAAGGTCTCTTATGTCAAAGCCCGTGAGGCCATTCATTCGATGCGGCCTTTCTTTCGCCAGTGGGCTCAAAGCCCTTCAAGTGCCAAGGCCCTTGAGGCCATTCATTCGCCACCAGTGGGCTCAAAGTCCTTCACGTCAAGTACCCTCATGCCAAGGCCCTTGAGGCCATTCATTCGCCACCAGCGGGCTCAAAGCCCTTCACGTCTAAATCCCTCA